GGGGAGGGGGTGTGGGGGAGGGATGGCGGAGCCCCCCCTCCCCGTCACTTAAACATGATCCGGAGCATGAACATCAAACAACAACTTGCTCTCCCCTCGACATGAAACCCGAGAGTGCCATATGGGGCGACCTCAGCCCCCCCACTTCAACATGGGGGGGGAGGGGATGTGGGGGAGGGAGTGTGGGGGAGGGGGGGCGGAGAACATGATTGGGAACATAAACATGAGCTTTCACCTTTGAACACGGCAAAACAACAACTTGCTCTCCCCTCGACATGAAATCCAAACGTAGCACTTTCCCCCTGTTCTTCCTCCTCTCTCTCTTTTCCTTCGCTCCTATGGTGTTCTCTTTCTACTCTCTTGCACCCACTGATTGTAGCCCCAGTGTTTTCTCCGGTAACCTAGAATCACACTTGAACATGATCGGGAGCACAAACATGAGCTTTCACCTTTGAACATGGCAAAACAACAACTTGCTCTCCCCTCGACATAAAACCCAAAAGTAGCACCTCCCCCCTGTTCTTCCTCCTCTCTCTCTTTCCTTCGCTCCTATGTCATTCTCTTTCTAGTCTCTTGCACCCACTGATTGTAGCCCCAGTGTTTTCTCCGGTAACCTAGATTTCGCACCCTACCAAGGGGCCTACCGGTAGGTAGCTCAGTTGTATATTCATGAACTCCTCAGATGCAGACAGCACGGAATGGACACTCAGCACATACAATCCGTACCAAACAGTATGCACACACACCCAACATAAAAGAGCACCCATCAACCAGCCCGGGGGGATAAAAATATACTTGGAATGTAGACTGGATAAGGGTGTGGGGGTGGCCCCCCTCCTCCACACTTGACCATAACCTAAGAAAAGACAAGTTTTATACCCAAACCCAAAACCAGGCCTACGCCAGGGCTTCCGCACCACATAACTTACGGTGCCAGGCACAACATTTCTTACGCTCGACATCAGTACAGGAAAAACAAATGTCCCCCAAGCAAAATGAACAACCACAAAAAAGCCACCTGCAACATTCAAGTTTGACCCTAACAGCCTCAACCCCCCTTCCAGGCATAGCAAATAAACCAGTCTATACCCAAACCCAGGCTCCACATCAATAGCGGAAAGTCCCTGGCTGCGCCACCACGCTTGGTGTGGTCTAACAGTTGTTCCCTCACCCGTTTCTGATGACTCCATCCGCCGCCGACACCGCCTTGAAGAACTCTAACTCTGAGATGACTCCCTCCGAGTGTCTTGCTGCCCCTGCACGGAATCCCGCCGTGGATTTCTGCCACCTTGCCTTTGACTGACCAAAATCTCATGAAGTTCGCCATACATGTCTGTTCGGTTTTGGGGTACCTTTGAATCGTACCTTTCACTAATCTCCATTGACACAGGATCTCTGCTTCAATCATATTCTTCTTGGTGGCCCTCCATACTTTGTCCCTTGGGTTCTGGGTGTTGTCCAGCGTCCTGCTGCATCTTTCCTTCCAGATCGCCCACAGTGTCGCTTTGCCAATCGATCCGAACCATGTCTTTTCTGATTTGTCAAATAAAAAAGTACAAAAAAAGTGGGGTAGGATGTTGATCTAGCGGAGGAGTTGGGTGGTGTGTTCCGGAAAGGTGGAGGCGAATAGGTGGTCCACAAGTCCAAAGCTGTGGCCCACTTTTCTGTGGCCTCTTTGCACTTGATCACACAGTGCACGAGGTCCTCCTGAACAGGCAGCACATAGATCTGATATAGGTGAGTGGTTTAATCCTCCATCCCACAACTCTGCCTGCATTATGCACGGCCCTGGCCATTACATGACCATTGTACATGCCTCTGACCACTGGGAGCTGTGGGACAACGGCACCATGGTCCATGCCATGATCGATGTCACTGATTTCTTACGAAATGATGTTGTTTTCTTGCCACAACAAACCGTCCGCAATCTCTTTTATGTCGAAGATCATTCCTCTGGCCCCGTGCTGCAGCAAGACAATGCACCAACACTCTGCGACCTTCTCCTTTGCACAACCACAAACACTGTTACACTCGGCTGTAGCCACCATCGTCTCTGTCACAATCACTACAATGACATGGTTTCTGCATCCATGTGTGCAGAGGACTGTCCCACCGTTCCTGACTGCAGGCACCCTCTGCATCCGGACACTATATATCCATTTTGCGGCCATGGGCGCTATACTGAATGCATGCTCTTTTGTGGTGACCGTTCTTCTTTCATTTTGGCCTGCAATCGACATGCCATTTGTCGGGGGTGTATGGCGGGCATGCTCAATGCCACCCGTTGTGGCAATTSTTGCACTGAGAATGCTCAGCTAGGTCTTCCATGTGTTCATCCACGTCATCCTTACAATGTATGTCCTCTCTGTCGTCAAGGACAGACTCATTCTTGAGCCTTTTCTTATCCTCTTTTGCCTTCATCTTCACTCCACACTCCATACTTTCCCTTACTTTCCCTTTATCGTTCTTTGTTTGTCTGCTCTCCATCTCTCCTCCCTGTGTTTATCCCCTCCCCCTTCACTCTGCCTCTTTCTCACAGCGTACAAGTGGGCTGTTATGGCACACGGGGATGGGGGCAACTCGCGCTCAACTTCATCAACGTGGCGAGCCTTCTACGTGAGAGGCACGGTGAAAGGGGAGTCAAAAGAAGAATGAGTAAAATGAATGGTTTCACTGTGCCCTTCATGTGTTGCCTGGTGTTTTTTTTTTTTTTTTTTTTTTTTTTTGCCGTTCGTTTCACAAATTGCGCTCTTTTAGTTCATACTACGTAGTTATGTGACAATATATATACGCATATTAGGATCACTGTTCTTTCTTCTTGTGTGTAGCCAGTGGGTGACAGGTAGTGCAGCATTTGTAATTAACCATTGAGGGCTTCTGACCTTAAACCACCAGTACCTTTCCCCGCTTGAAAACAAAAGCCGTGCCGGTATATTCGGAAGCCAAGCGGGAAAGGGCCACTGTGGATAACTACCATCGTTGGCCCGTTTTTCGTTGCGGGCCTCCAAAACTGCCCGCGGCCGATATATGGGGGAAAGGTACTGGTGGTTTCATTGGACGTGTTGTTTTATATTTCTTCCACGGTACCGTAGAGATTTCGCTGGCCTCATCTCCCAATATCTTTGTCCATTTACGTTGATAGTTGGTTCCGGGTCCTTTGTCACGAGTAGCATCTTGTACCTCATTTTAGCTGAGTAGTCAGAAATTGGTATGATGGTATTATTTCTTCTGTTCTTTCCTGTCTTTTGGCCTAGACTGCTTGGCCAGGCGGACTTGCCGGCCAGATCTGCCACGAAGGCCGCCCGGCCGCCCGACCGTGCAGATGCCCCAGGCGGGGTGCAAGGCGGATTTTGCTCCTTTGGCCACAGGCCCTTTTCAGACCCAGTGGCCGGCCTAGTGCACTGGACGCAGCTCCCAGAGCTGCATCGGAGTTCCCAAACAAAAAACCTCCCGCTCTTTTTTGGGGAGGCTTTTGTGAAGTGACATCGGTGTGATTCTTAACATTACATTGCGAATAATTCTGTTTTGAGTCTTTTGACTCCTGAATCTTTTCAAGTCAGTCTGCTTCTGTTTTGAGTCTGTTTTGAGTCTGTTTTGAGTCTGTAGTGTCTGTTTGAGTTCATCTAATTCTGTTCTGAGTCAGTTCCGAGTCTGGTTGAGTCTGTTACGGGACTGTTTGAGCCTGTTTTGAGTCTGTGTGAGTCTATGTGAGTCTGTATGAGTCTCTTTTGAGTCTGTTTTAGTGTACAGGTCCATCTGAGTATCTCTGATTCTGTTTTCAACCTGTTTTGAGACTGTTGGAGTCTGTTTTGGGTCTTTTTTTAGCCTGTTCTGAGTTTGTTTGAGTCTGGTTTGGGTGAAGCCTGAGATTGTTTTGTAAGTGAAAATCAGCTCGTATTCGGACAGAGCCAGATGGGTGCAGCGGTGCCCCACTGAAAAAGAAGAAAAATGGAAAGGAAGGGCTGATTTTTGTACGAGTGTACTTGGACAGGATCTGTTCTGTAGGTCGTACACTTTCCTGTATCTACGAATACAGATGACTCACTCAACCTGGATGATGAGCGGAGACTTCCATCTCAGAGTGCGAATACCAGACGGGGGCTGTCTCGGCAGTCTCTAGCCATTGATGAACGCACCCCTTGGCTTCGGTCGAGGGGTTCCGGGACGGGGGCGTTCCGACAGGTAAAAAAAAAGAAAAGAAAAAAAAGGGGCTGATTTTTGCTTGCACGGGGTGCCCTGTGCAGGCGACCCCCGGGCGACTTGCCCGGGGTGCATGGCTGGGCGACCCAAGTATAGCCTTGCTTCCAGCCCTGTTCGGCTGATCAAACTCCAAATCTTGTCTGGATGAGTTAATCTGAAAGATGGTATCTGGCCATCGCCCCAGGACTCTTATTTTGCATAACGTGTAGATGTTCAATGTCACTTCTACCAGATCTTTGTTTAAAATGGAACGCCATCTTTGTTTAAAATGGAATGCCATCTTTGTTTAAAATGGACTGGGCGTTTGGTTGGAATAGCTGATTGGAAAGGATTTGAAGATCGCAGCAAAAGTCATTTACTGTTGTCTATGTAAGAGCTGGTAGGCCCGGGTTGGGGGTATTTCCGTAATTTCAACTCACCATTCACCTGGTTTCCACGAGAAATCCTCTTTGAGAAGCTTTTTTCCAGCTTTCTTGAATGTTCCTTATCATCTCTTGCAGGTTCTCTTTGCAATGATGACATCCTTTAAGCGTGGATCGGCGTACGTCTTCTTCTAGCCAGACCTTTTTCTCCTCATTCCAAATGTGACTTATCTTCTTCCATATTCATGATTTCTTTTTTTTAAATTGATGTGATGTGAAGGAAAAATGCGTTTGTCTGGTGTTCATTTATTTATTTGGATATTTGTTTGTCTGTTTGTTTATTTGTTGTATTTGTCAATCCATTTGTGTGTAGATTTCTTGTCCTTTCAGTTTTGCAGTGGGGACCTGTTCAGCTAGCGAATTAGTTTTTTGGCGGGATTAAAGAAGTTTGCGGGCTTCCATTCTCTCCTCTTCGGATATGGCGATTCCGGCTTCACTTTTTGACCCTCCGGGCGGGACAGGGTTGGGATCGGCCGCGACAACGAGTCAGCCGCTAACAGAAGGTACGGCGAGCAGCTATTTCTTCTTTATCTTTTGTCTTAAGCAAAATCAAATCAAATTAATGGCATGAAATTTTGAGGTGGGGTTCCGCATGATTCCATCCGGAGTGAGTGAATAAAAAAAGAAAAAAGGAAGACTATTAAATTATTAATTAACCATGTGCGGATTCAGGACCTCAGGTAAACCAGAAAGAGGCCCTGCCGCTGGCTGGCCTACCAAAGTGCAGTGCGGCCTGAGAACAGGCCAATGTGAGCAAAAAGGGCCCAGGGTAGTTGCAGCATGCATGCAGCATCTTCAACTAACCGGTAGGCCCACTGCAGCGCATGAGTTGGTTGCAGATGCTGGGCCTGCGTGCACATTCTAGAAGGGCCCAGGCGCAGAGCAACTGGGACAGGGCACAGCCTCCTCAGCCTCTCTATCCAGCACAAAAGAGTGGAGGCCGCCCAGACTCGCACATTCTGGCATTGTGCCAATGCAGCAGTGCTGCTGGAGCAGTCGCCGCTGTGCCCACGGGAAGCTGCTGCGGTGGCAGGGATGAAGAAGAAGGGAGAGCGCTTGCCATAGCCAGGCTGAGCGCTCCATAGCTGGGGTGGTGGAAGTTGCGGATATAGAAGGGATAGAGAGTAGGCTCAGCGTCCCAGGCACCATAGGAGAGCTACATTGTTGCTCCATTGATGATCGAAGGCGTTGGAAGGGCTTGCTTTATCTATGGAGAGAAGGCTCAGCGTCCCGGACACCATAGGAGATATACATTGTTGCTCCATTGATGATTGAAGGCATTGGAAGGGCTTTCTTTATCGATAGACTTCAGTGTTTTGCTCTGTACTATGTGGTGTGCATCTCGCTTTCATTTCTGCTTTCAATTTCGGCTCAAAGATGTCTGGTCTTCTGTGAGATATCGTTGCAATATGATTAATTACTGTTCGCATTGCTTATTTGAAGTTATTTCCTTGCAATTATTAAAGGACACGGAAAAGAGAAATGTTTCAGTAGTTTCAAGGAGCTTTGCCACCCCTGTGCTTTTCTTCTCGCTTTGTGTTCATGCTGCCTGCCTCGACCGTTGACTCCACTGAACACAATGCGCACTCTCAGCATCACTGTATTTTACCGAAAAGATGGCTAGTATACATTCATGATCAGGGTGTGTTGTGTTTGAGCGATATACATACAACCAAGTTGCAAAATCACACAGCTGAACCAGTAGTCTTGTCCCAAGCAGAGAGTACAAATGCACTGAGAAAACCATCCATATAGAGCAATACAATGAAGTAATGAGCCAATGTCCAAGCCCATAGGCCACACCAACACAGTATCCAAAGTCGCTCTCTGCTGTCTGGCGCTCGGCGCCCAGCCTACTCTACCTGACTAGCCTATCTACAGCCGGTTCACGCAACAGGATCACTTCGACTCTCGAAGACCAATGTACATGACTGCCAACACCATCGCCGACCTCTCTTCATGTACCAGGTACGTATCTCGTCACCCTCAGTCAGACCTTGATTACCCCACACAGTGCCTCCTTCCCTGAAGACCACCCGATCATCCGCTGTACCCCCTGGCGCCCAGCAGCCCGGCTATGGCTGCCTGCGCCCCGCTGCCCTGCAGCGCCCCTCTCACCACCTCGCGCTCCGTCAGCGCCCCTGGCATTAGCGCAGCATCAAGTAGAAGCGCAGCAGCACTTCCGCATTGCCAGCGCTGGCCAGTCTGTCCGGCCTGGGCTGCCTCACTTCCTTTATGGAAGTGTCGGCCTCCTGGATGCTGCGTGTGGTCTGGCTGGAAGCTTCCAGTAGCTTCCGGTTGGGCCTCAGACCCTGTGCCCAGGCCCGAGACTTACAGTTGAGAGCCTGGGCCCTTTCTAGTTGGGCATGGCCTGAGTCTTCCGGACTTGGGCTGTTTACTGCATCTGCACAGGGCTCCCAGATAGATGCGTCGGCAGTCCTGCTTTTCTGAAGGCCGACAGCCTGCCTCTCAATGTATCGGCCCTGCTCTGTGTGTATGTGCCCAGCCGCAACTGTAATGGCCTGGGCCAACTGTATGATGCAGCAATGTGAGGCTCACGCGTCTTCCCAACCAACTGGCGTGCTGCGAGAGCCTGAATACCCACATATGGAAATGTCAGAATTTTGCCTTTGACGAATATTCAGGCCCGCCTTCACTTAGGGAAGGCACTTGGCTTGCTGGGGGCCTTAGCCCAGGACAATGTGATGTCTGATATGGCCCCTTGAGGGCTTGTTCCTCACAGAAGGCTACGTAAGCAAAGAAAATAGCAATCTTCTGACCAGTCTATATTGTGAAATCCCAATCTTCTAATATGGCAATCCACTGACCAAGCAATCTCCCGACTCCCAACTCCCCACTCCCCACTCCCCACTCCCCACTCCCCACTGCCCACTGCCCACTGCTGACTGCCAACTGCCGACTCCCGACTGCCGACTCCCGACTCCTGACACAGCAATTTGTCGCCAAGGTAACCTTTGCTGACAAGGCTACCCTCTGACGAGCCTTTGACGAGGTGACCATCTCGCAAGGTGGTGGTCTGGCGAGCCGATCTTCTGACACAGCAATTTGGTGACAAAGCAATCTGCTGACACATTTGCTTGCAAGGAAATCTGCTGATAATCTCAACAAAATGATTTGTCGTGCAAAGCAATCTGCTGAGACAGTCATCTGCTGACTGCTCACTCACCAGTTAGCATGGAAGAAAATATGCCAACAATATTGACAAGCTTATCTTAATATCTTCTTGCAAAGCAATCTGCTGACTGTGCAGCCTTGTTGACAAGGCATCCGTCTGACACGGTGACCATCTTAAAAATGTGATCTCCGTTTTTTTTTTGTTTCCCCCCCCCCCCCCCCCCCGCTTTGACTATGAAAGTGATTCAGAGGATCATAACGGGGCCCTTACCCGGCTTCAGCTTATGAACAATGCAATCTCTCTTAACAAAGGCTGTTTCGACCTTCTTCTAACCATGCATCAGTCACCATCCTGACAAAGCAAGATGCACAGAAGTCAGGCTGCTGACAAGGCAAGATGCTGACATGGCAGTCTGATCTCTCTTGAACGTGCTTCTGTTCACTATGTCCGCCTGTCTGCCTGTCTGTCTGTCTGTATGTATGTATGTATGTATGTATGTATGTATGTATGTATGTATGAGTATGTATTTATGTATGTATGTATGTATGTATGTATCTATGTATGTATGTATGTATGTACGCATGTACGTATGTAATATGTACGTATGTACGTATGTACGTATGTATGTACGTATGTATGTACATACGTACATATGTATGTATGTATGTATTGTATGTATGTATGCATGTATGTACGTATGTACGCATATACCCATGTTCGTATGTATGTACGTATGTACGTATGCATTTATGTATGTATGTATGTATGTATGTATACATATGTGTGTATGTATGTATGTATGTATGTATGTATGTATGTATGTATGAATGTATGTATGTATGTATGTATGTATGTATGTATGGATGGATGGATGCTGGATGCATGCATGCATGTCTGTCTGTTTGTCTGTCTGTCTGAATGCATGATTGTATGTATGTATGTATGTATGTGTGTATGTGTGTATGTGTGTGTGTGTGTGTGTGTGTGTGTGTGTGTGTGTGTGTGTGTGTGTGTGTTGATGAAGACGAGCTGCCAGAGGAGCTTAGGCGGCCGGCTAGACGGAAGGTGGAAGGCATGAGTGCTGCATTTATGGTGGAGGGCACAGAGAGCATTCTGCAGGAAGCAAGACACACAGTTGAATGTGAAACGCAGAGACATCCCTGCCCTGTGAATTTACCTGAATCGGGTAGCCGGTCCAATTGGTCAAGGCCCCAGGCAGCAAATCAAGCGCAGCCACAGAAACCGTCAACGAGTCAATCGCAGCCCCAAAAATCATCAAGAAGTCAATCACAGCCGCAGAATATTTCTATTGAAAGGTTCTCAGGGCTAAGGATAAGGTGAATCATTCACCACTCCCTTCTTGCCCTGCTCTTTTCCTCCTCTGCTTTCCTCCTCTTTCCTTCCTTCGCCGTCCTTGTCTTGCCTTCCCTTCCCTTTGCTCCTCCCTCCTCCCTCTTCCCTCCTCCCTGCTCCCTCTCCTTCTCCCTCTCCTTCTCCCTCTCCTTCTCCCTCTCCTCCTCCCTCTCCTCCCCTCCCTCTCCTTCCTCCCCCTGCTCTTCCCACCTCCTCCTCCCACCTCCTCCCACCTCCTCCCACCTCCTCCCACCTCCTTCCTCCTCCCTCTCGTTTCCATTCCCTATAAAATAAACGAAAAAAGAAGGGATTTTATCATTTTACCCTGCCAAGCTCAGAAATTCAGCACACCTCGACACTGAGGTCCCCTGGACTGCAAAACTGCCCCCGAGAAGTCCAGATTCATGCATCAAATTCAATCCTCCTTGCTAGTGGGACCTTGTCCGTGGAGAATCTCCTGAGCATAAGACACGCTGTGATTCTGATGTCATGACATCCATTGAATTTCATTCCTTTGCTACATTTTTTCCTTAATGTTGTTTTTTCATAAATTTATTATTACTTTCGTTAACGTTGATTTTTTATTTTGTCGCCTGTTTGTCGCAGGCATGCAGTTTTGCCTCCAAGCGTTGTGGAACAGTACTTTTCAGAAGTGCGGTTTATTCGGCTGGGAAACATACTGTAGGTGCCAGGTACCCTAAGCATCATTAAAACAAAGAAAAAAAAAAACAGAACTGTTTGTCTTCGACTTGTTCAAGTCTTTTCAGACTGGTGTATTTATTTCTGAATCCATTCACAATTCATTCTAATTGTTATGATATTTTTTTATATGCTTTGCACGGATTACAGTGGGGTTGCAGCAGGGGTTTGAACGCAAGCCTGACGGGCACTCACAAAATAATTCATTCCATATGGTGGCAGCTTATGGATTCCGTGTTAATACTGCCCCAAACAGAACACATGGTCATTATAGCTGTACTTGGGGCAACTTTCAGTCTAGATGCAGCTACAACAACTTTCAGACTAGATGCAGCTACAATGACTTTGCATTCTATTCGGTAGGAGATGGTAGCAACAGGACAACCTAAGCCTTGTTTCCTGTTCCGTCATTTGTGCTTCACTCACTATTCTTTGGTGGATTTCAGGGGGGGGTCTACGGKGGGGGGGGGGGGGGGCACCGAAGAGGGCARGGGGGAGGGAAGGGGTGCATAGGGGCACAGAGCGGACACAATGGCATGCACGCAGGACATGCGAACGTCGACTTCTATTTAGATTGGGAGAGAAGATCAGCACTTGGCGAGTCAGGGTCAAAATGGGTTTGTAACAGTCAAATGGGAAATTTTGGGGGGCTGTTCGACAATTCATTTGGCTTGGCTTGGCTTGCAAAGCTGTGCCAAGGCGGGAAAAAAATCCTTTCCTTGTTGGCAAGTTCTCGGTGAACCTCACCTTTGGCCTACTCTTTGTCTAAGGGCATATTCGCAGCAGGATGTTCTCGACTCAGCTCTAGACGTAATTTTTGGTCGGATGCATCCAGAGTCGCCCAGAAGAGTGGTACATGCATGCATCATCTTTGACCAAGGGCCTCGCTCCACTGTGTACATTCTAAATGTATTTTGGAGCTGGTAGTTGTTGAAAGTTCGATCTGTACGAAAGCATCTGGTACATATAGCAGTGCAGTTACGTGTCGAATGTTTTTGGAAGGATGCCATGACAACACAACTGTTTGCCCTAGAGTGAACTGGAAGTGCTGTGAAGGTGAAGTTGGTTGATGCATGTAGGATGAAGGAATGAACTGTGCGAAAAAAAAGTTTAAGGTGAGGCTGGTTGATGCATGTAGGATGAAGGAATGAACTGTGCGGAAAAAGGTTCAATGAGCACACGACCCTCTAATTGGGCCTTGTCATGTGAGAAAGTGGAAATGAAAGAGAAAAAACATTTTTGAAATTTTGAATGATTTGAAACGGTATTCACCTGTTCGCAGTAGCGAATGCGGATCCTAGAGCTCGATCCCTAGACTTACCTTACCTGTGTACATTACTTGTGTCGACCCCAGGAGCTGAACCCACGACCTGTGTCTTTTCCCACAGTTGGTAGACTGTCGTAGGGTCTATAGATGGTAGGGGTTCGATCTGTACACCTGTCAAACAGTGGTCTTAGGTAGTTCTAGAAGTCGTAGCTGTAGGACCTCTGAAAGGTCAAGGTTGTAGCTGCTACAGTCCTGAAAGGTCAACGTCGTAGCTGCTACAGTCCTGAAAGGTCAAGGTCGTAGCTGCTACAGTCCTGAAAGGTCAAGGTCGTAGCTGCTACAGTATGCGAAAGGCCAGAGCTGAAACTTCCGGAAGGTCCTGGTACTGGCCTTTCGGAGCTGCTCACGTTTAGGCTGAGGCAAGTGGGCAAGTGGTGGAGTCTACCCGTGCTGAGTCAGCAGTCCCAGTTCAGTCAGTCCTAGTCCAGTCAAGCAAGTACTGTACGGGACTGTGTGCACCACGGGCATGAGAAAGGGCCAGACCAACGAGCTACAGAAGTATAAATCAAGRGGCAGCGCCCAGCCATTCATTCATTCCTGCGTAAGCCATGCGGAAGCGCTGCCACAGCGACTTGTGCGAGGTGGTCTGCAGTGAGCCCGAAGACGAAGTGGGCGAGAGAAGGAGCTTAGCCATAGCGATAGGGTAGCGGCGGCCATAGCCGCCATAGCTGATAGGAGAGTGTAGCGTGTATGTGTATGCGTGTGTGTACCGTGTGATGCGTGTGGATATCCAGGGTGATCCTGTGTGTGTGTGAACAGAGAGTTGTACAGGCGCTGTGCCGCCATATCCATTTGAAGTGAACTTGTATCTGAACTGCGTTCTTGGTTACTATATCTCTGAGTTCTGAGTGGGCGCTTGTCGCCAGTTTGCTGCGCAACCTGTTTACATGCATACGAAGTGTGAAAGATAGCGAGTCTGATTGCAGATTTTTCAATTATTGCCTAAGAAAAAAAAATCGTCAAAAAGCTTTTTTTTTTAATGAAGACTCCTGCCCAACCTTCCTCTCTTGTGATTTCTTCCTGGCACACACCTACTCCCACAATCCTACCTCAGTATTTACCACTCTGGACTATCACCCCCCCACCGTCTCAGTGGGGGGGTGACCTGACCGGGCAGCAGTTGTAAGCACCACGGCTAAGCCAGACCTCCCCTGCTCAGCCCTGAATGAAAGCATAGTCGGACGAGACCTAAATGCTTGTGCTATACCCCTGTCAAGGGGTTGCTGAATTTGTGCTATCCCCATGTTAGGAACAGAATGCAATTTATGAAATTTCAGTATTCTGTAATGAACCCAGTCAGGAAGATAATCATCAGACGTCGAAGTTCCATTAGTCTCAAATCTGTACAAAGAGTCCAGTTAACGTGAMAATGATATCTGCAACAGTATCTCGTTACCAATAGACGAAGAGAGTGGAGGGAGGATAGACAAGGGAGAAGGTGGAAGTAGTCAAAGATCACTCAATAGTAACCCAACCAATCCCACTTCTTCTCCGGGCTTCCTCTCCCTCCACGTCATCAATCAAATAACAGTAACAAGTCTGATAGGTCCCGATAACACAGAAGTGCCACGTGGCACCACTGTCTCCTAGAGACAATGAAGACAGCCAGCAGCGAACAATATCAACGTCGGCCTCAGGTAAGTATCCTGTTTCCCAATCATCCACAGATCCCGATCTTCCTCCTTGTCGCAACCAGTCACCTCATGTAGACAGCACGACCAATGCCACATCAGCAGAAACAGGTGGCATGCGCCATGTCATCAATGAAGACAGGTGGCATGCGCCATGCCATCAATGAAGACAGGTGGCAGCATCACATCAGCAATACAACGTGAAGCGCCACATCAGCATCGCAATGTAGACAAGTGTCATGCGCCACATCAGCAATGTAGACCAGTGGCATGCGCCACATCAGCCGGGTAGACAGGTGGCAGTGCCACATCAGCAACGCCTGGCGCACAAAGCAGAAAGCGCCAGCATGCCGCCACAGTCCCTGTCGTCCACAATGATTGCGCACAGCCAGCGTCTCGCCAGCATCGTGCCAGCGTCCAGTCACAGTCAAGCCAGCGTCCAAGCAGCATAGCAAGACTGAATGTTGACCACCTCGAGACCAGTCCGTTTGTAATGTTTGACGAGACTGTCTGGCCTCGGGTTCCCTCCTCACAGTCGTTCAGATTGAATCACAGCCGAGGGCCTGGATTGTGTACAGTTGCAGACTTCCCCTTGGACCTGATGCTGTCTGGGTACCTGCATACAAACAAATGTGTGCGTCTGACCCGCGGCCTGGGCTGGGTACACTTTGACTTTGACTGTTGGGGTCTCCGACAGTTGACTTTTGTCAACTGTACCTCGCTCAAGCCCTGAATCTTTAACTGGGGTCTTTTCCCCCCGTTTCAGCCTGGGCCTGGGTGTGGCCTGGCGAGGCCCTCAGTTTCCACGAGGCATACAGCATGGGTTATTGCAATCCGGCTACACTGGCCGCATACTTTCAGTGCTATTTCACAAAAGTTTCCTTTATTGTTAGGAACAGAATGCCGAATTTGTGCTATTCCCATTCTAGCGTATATGTGAACTTTCAGTGCCATTTCACAAAATTTACTTATTTTATTTTATATTTATTTATATCTTTAGTTCCAGCATTTGGCTACACCAGCCGGGGTCAACTAATCACCTGTGGAATAATGTATAGTTAATCAGTTGCAGTCTTTGGGTTTAACAAAGGCATACCATGTCTTTTTTTTGTTTTTTTTTAATCATGTCAGTCTTCGAGTTGAGGAAGCTTCAGACCAGGAAGCTCTCCGTGGCGAATGCTGACTTGAAGCGCGAGCTACATCAAGTCATCAGGAATTCATGGTACAAGAAGAGGCTGTACAAACATGATGTTAATAGATTGATCTCGCTAGCAGGGACAGGGAAGCTGTTCTCCAGGGCAAGTACTCGTACCTCTCTTAGGGATATGTTGGCCAGCGTGATCTGGCAGAAGTTTCACTTGAAGTCATTTTGTGTAAGTGTCACGTATGATCGCGGGATTTCGATGTGCGTGCTGTCCGTGAGTTGGTATCGAAGAAGATAAAGGAGCTTTCGGAACCACTGGCTGCATTCACATGTCGGAGACTTATGACCATCTGGAAGGAAAAACACACCGTCTGCAAGGTTCTCCATAACCACCGATCTGCATCTCTGCAGTTGGTGGGGGTCTGAACATGTGCAGACACTGCCCCCTCCCACGTGCGGAGGGTCATGTGGTTTGCAGAGTTAGTGATCTGGAAGGGGTGTCAGGGAGTGTGAGGAATGCTCGGAACATCGTGCATACCAGAGGCGTACAAAGACAGCGATTGATGATGCGTGAGATAAACGACAGTTTGGTAAAAATAGGATTGAAATCAGTGGTCGGCTTGAACGATCAGCCCGCCATATGCTGAACCCTCAAAAATGGCAGAGTAGCTAGAGCGTTGAACCATCTGTTGTTTGTATTACCCAAGTCCATGCACTTCAACCTGAAGTCTACAGGGTTGCTGAAGGACCAAGTGAGGGAGGCGAATGACTGGGTAAGAAGAAAGGGGAGGGGGCAGTTGGTGGGGGCAGCGTTTGACATCAAGGATGTTCGGCCAACTGCCCCACAACTCCATCGTAATAGCAGTGGACTGGATTTTGGACTGGTATCGGCAAAAGGGCAAAAAGAAGGTCAACCTTTGAAGGAAAGGGAAAGGGGCGGCGTTTGCACAGAAGCCAGGGTATGATGTGAGCTTTGAATCAATCAGAGAGATGGCGAGGTTCGAGCTGCAGCATACCTATCTGGTTGCCCCAGACAGATTGATCCAACAGCACGTTGGAATACCAATGGGGAAAAGCAGTGGCCCCCCATTGGGATGTACTATGTTGTGCGCCATGAATGAGTATCATTTCATGTCCAGACTGGGAAGGGATCGGGGGCTGGTAAAAGGATTTCGGCTGATTGATGACGTCATCATCCTGATCTGGTGTCCAGCGAAGGATGGTGATGTCCGAAGGACAAGAATTATGGAGAAATTCGCAATAACATATGATGACAATGTGGCGCTGGAAAGGACGGACGTGGGTCGATGTGAGTGGGACTTCCTGGGAACGAGGATGGATATTCAACGGAATCAGGTCTCCTGTCAATGCTACCCGAAGAACTTGGAACAGATCTGGAGTGATGGAGGTTTCGGCTTCAGAGCATTTCAGGATTACGGATCGTACTCAACCCACCGGCAGAAAAAGAAATCGGTCATTACTAGCGCTATGCATCAAATTTGGCGAATGTCATCTTTGGATGACCTGGCTGGGCTTGGTCTACTCACTCTGAAACAGCAGTTGCACGTGCAGGATTACCTGATACAGCCGCTCAACGGGTGCTTGTGGAAGTTCATCCGGGGGCATGCCCCCTCCTGGGAAGTCTGGGGTAGAACACGTGGGGGCTGGTAAAGGGATGTGGGATTAGGATCCCGGGTGAGACTTAAGGAGGTTAAAAACTGGGTTGATGGGGTGCACTGAGTGGGCTAGGGGGAGTAACTGGGATAAGGGGGGCAGGCATGGGGATAGACTCACAGCAAGGAATAGTGGATGTTATGGGGGCTTAGCAGGGCCCGAAACAGCAGGTCATGGCTGGGTCCTAACAGACAAACATGGAAATAAAACAGCGGGGGCAGGATTGGGGATAAAAGGGGCATTGGGTAGCAATAAGGGGAGGATGACATCCGGGCTCGAACCCGGACCTTTAGGTATGGATAGGCTAGGAAGTCCGTAGGTAGAAGGAATAAGGAAACAGGATTTGAACCTGGACCGACGTGATAGGAGGGAAGGAGGCTTGAGAATAAGCTGTGCCAAAGCAGGGCCGCAGTGGGGAAGGCTACCAGGAATGATAAATGGAAGGGCCTCAGAGTATTGTACCGAATGGATACATAACACGGACCAAGGGAATTACTCCGAATGGAAGGCGCTAACTGGAATTTGAGGAATAAAGACCGGGTTCGGACTTGGACTGCCATGAGTAGAAGGATGATAGGGCTAAGATAAGTTTTATGGAATAAGACACGCAAAAAGCTGCAGTGACCAGTACTACAGGGAATATCGGCTGAGAGGGTCCGAAAGTAACGGGCAGAATGGGGTGGGCGACACCGGCCAGTTGAATTACTTGGGAAGGCAAGGCATTGGATGACGTCACTTTGAACCCGGTGCAGACAGGACCAAGGGACGAAGTATGTGGAACTACGTAGGACAGACTAAAGAGAGAATAGCTTAGCGACCAGGTATAAGTACACTAGGCTTAGGACTCGGTAGATATCTTGGATTACCCCTGATGAGCTCACGACTGGCGGTGGGTGAAACTAGTCGGGGAAAGGCAGGCATCTTCGCTCTCCGGTGGACTGACGATATGATGAGACGATAGGGGAGGGGGGATGTCGACCGTAGCTTTTGCTATGGCACTCGGCTACGCGGTGCTCTGATGCTCATCTATTTGAGTGGCTCCATTCGGGATTCTTTTTTGCATATTTTTATTATTTTCACCGTGCAGCTACTGTTATGTGTGTTTGTGGTCAGACTCTGCGCTGACTCCGTTTGCTCATGACATTGCCATGACATTCTCCTTCTGTCTTCTTTGGGAGGACCATTTCTCGATTTACACGTGTCGTCCTTGTGCAGGGGCTATGCTTATCTTCTCTCTATTGTCCCAGTTTTAGTGGATGTCCGGAAGGGCAATTATCTTTTATGCCACTGAGGTTGGGAACAAAGAAATAAAATTTTTCAGGACTTACCCCATCCTGTCTGAATGCGACAAAGTACAGTCTCCGTTGAGGGGTTGTGATTGAATCAAACGTCGTCCCCAGAAGAAAAAAAAAGGGTGTGGGTCTGAAATGAACCAAGTACTCGTCAAGTTTCACCTCGCAAACACCAATGAACATCATACGAGAGTTCACTTGTAGCATATCAGAAAGTGAAATGCACTAACAGCCTAGGATCTAGCAATGATGAAAGTGGAAACAACCAGCAGCATAGATGCAACATTCACCAGATGTCAATGTGCACAATGCAACAAGTAAACCAACGAGAAAAAACAACAACAACACATTTGCATCATTATCATCATGGGCTGGGGAACAGCGCAGCGGAATAATAGTAACCAAGAGGACACGTGGACAACAACAGGAAAGGGAGAAACTTCGGAAGGGCAGGACATTAGAGAGATTGCCCTTCCGCTCACACACATAGGGAGAGATCCATAGACATGCGAGAGAGAAGGGGGGGGGAGGGACATAGGACGTAACCAAGTCCAACCCAAGTCTGATCTCCGAATGTCGTGCACAGTTCAATCCCAATGTAGCGTGTAAGTCCGGTCTGAATGTCGTGTCCAATAAGGCAGAATGYCGTGYCCAAACAATGTCTGCAGTCACCTCTATCTCTACTCTGATCAAGACGAGGAAGAAGAAGAAGAAGTAGAGGAAAGAACAGTGGAGGAGTAGGAGGAGAAGAGGAGAGGAGAAGAAGAAGACGAAGAAGAAGACGAAGAAGAAGAAGAAGAAGAAGAAGAGGTAGAAAGCTGGGCGCTTTCTGCACTTACCTGGCGATGGCTGAACTGCAGATACCGCGGAGCCAGCTATGGCGCTGGCCCAGGTAAGTC